AAAAACTATTACACGTATAATATATTTATTTCCTTTTTTTTCATAGAATTCTCATTTCAAACTCATTTCTTTTCAACATTTTCCCTTATCAGTTAATCAAACCAACATCTCAGGTTTCCATAGAAAATTATAGATTCGCAATATGCAAATAAGATGGCAAGCAAAATGTTAACAGGCACAGCATAGCAAAAGAGTGAAGAGGTGCGACACGAGTTTGGGCTTTCGAAATAACGAAACTATACTTTAGCACGGAATATACAGGTGATTTACACATTCGTCACATAGATTCAAAATAATTATTAAATATGACAATTGTCATACAATTGCTATTTCTGGATCTCTTCTATGATCCTTTTGCGATAAATATTTCTTGTCTTCAATATGAAATTCGCAGTTTCGTACGTAACTGGTTCAAGTAAATCCGACAACCTTCTGTGAACAAATTTGTCAGTATATCACTGTAATAACCAACCGTAAGAAACCCATCACAAGTTTCTATATACCATTCATCTAGAATTTCTATATACCATTAAAAGGAAATGTAAGAATGACTCAAGATCACGACGATCCTGTGCAACATTCCCCAAGAAATCCGCGTCCATGCATCCCCCGCAGACATCTACCCCCTTGATGAACAGTAATCGTATAAAAGGTCAAGTATTTAGCAGAAAATGGCGGGTCCCTGTGAAAAGCGCGGCTCGAGGTAAAAAATCGCTGACGCGTCCCCGGAAAATCCAACCGGGCAGGCATTTCCACGTTATTGGCAGGCTCGTGTTCCGCTCGCCCGTACTCGCTCGCCTGGCGTCGCTCTTCAGAGCGGGAAGCTAGGGACACGCTCGCCGGCTGCACACTCTCGGGTCCATCGTCGAGAGGTTCTCGCGACAGAAGGAGGCGAAGTAAGTCGAGCAAGTAGTGCAGGCGAGCGGGTGGTCGGACTTTTTCGAGAAGCGATCCGCCGTGTCGCGCTAAGCGAGCGAGCGAGCAAGCGAACGATCGCGAACGAGCGAACAGGCGAGCAGGCCGCGGCCGGAGGCGGGTACGCGGTCGCGATCTTCCCCTTCTTTGGGTACGGTCGGCCCGACGGGTAGGGACGGCGCAAGCGCGTGACTCTTCCCCACCCCCGATCCGCGGACACGGTGAGTGACGGAGCAAGTAGTACGAAGTAGGATACTGTACCGATTGGAGCAAGAGAGAGACTCGCGAGTGTCTCGACGGTGGAAGAGAGAAAAGCGTAGACGGTTGCCCCGCTACCGCCGCCTCCACCACAGCCACTACCGCCGTCGCCGCCACCGCCGGCTCTTCCCCACCGTGCACGGTTGCTCCCCTCTTCCCCGCGGCACCCCTTCCCCTCGCCCCGCGCCCCGAGAGCGCAGTGTCGCGTCGAACCTCTCACAGAGCGCGTCGCACGTCCGAGTACCGGCCGCCGCCCGTCATCAGTAGTCGCCGTACCGCGCAGCCACGTAACCTCTCACCTTCTCCTTAGTTTTTAGTAGTCAGTAGTAGGGGAGAGTGTGGAGAGAAAGAGGAGAAAGAGGGAGAGAGAAAGAGAGCGCGCGCGTAAGAGAGGTACATCGCAGATAGAGAGAAGAGAGAAGTGTGAAAGAAGAGAGAAAAACGAAACGAAAGAAGAGAGGTGCACGCAGGAATAAACGAGAGGAAAGCAGCCGTCGACAGAGGAAAAACGGGAGAGAAACGAGAGGTCGACAGCCTGTATTTTCCGTCTTGTGTGATCTGTATACTCGTCGCTGCACACCACCATCACAACCCGGTGTCGGTGTCGTTGTTGTTCACCTGGTCCTCTTGGTCGTGTCGTGTGGTCCGGTGTAAACGGGACCAGCGCGAGGATAATTTCGTCGACTTGTAAGTGCGAGGGTGATATTGTAGCACCGTGCGTACGTGCATTAACGCGTACGTGCACAACCGTCCCTATCCGTCGATATTATAATATCGTGCTGCAAAAGCTCGACAAACGCGTGTCGCGCGCCAGACAACCAGTGAATATACACACACGTACACACAGACAGCGATTAAATCCCCTCTTGTAACAACTCGAGCATCGAATACCGGTGGAACCACCGGGAAGAGACAGGTGATACACAAGACAAGGCTAAAAACCGGGAAGAACGTGGTGAGACGCGAGCTGAAACGGAGTAAAAGTTGAACAGAGAGGACAGTCCAGTCTCGGGGTGGTGTAAAGATCGCGGCGGTGTCTTGACATACGAGGGAAGTGAACCACGCGAGTGTCTGTACGCTCATCGACGAATTCGAACGGGTTCGTCTGTCAACGTTTGACAACGCTGACCAAAAAAAGAAAGGGGTAACGAATAAACCCCGGGCGGTTATCAGACCGGTTGCCATTGCCTACTTGGTACTGGTGTGTGGTACCCGTTGCCACTGCAACCCCCCGGACACACGCGAGAGAGCCGTTGCGATAACAACGAGCCGTGCCGCGCGCGCCGCTATGGAGCCCCAGAACCAGGAAATTGTAGCGAGCGGCTCGCCAGCCGAGGTGCCGAACGATCCAGGGTACGAGACATCACATCACTACCACGGGATAGATCCTGAATCCCATACAGACCATCCACTACCATCCATCACCACCAACAACGACGATATCTTTACGTGCGTGAATACCAAAGAAAAAAAAATGAAAAAAAATGATGAGAGAGAGAGAGAGAGAGAGAGAGAGAGAGAGAGAGAGAGAGAGAGAGAGAGAGAGAAAGGGAAAAAAAGAGAAATGAGAGGAGTAACCACGGCATTGAAGTGTGTTGATTGACCGCGATTAATCGTCGATCCCGCGGGGCTCGTGTTGTTATCGTAACCTTGTGTTTTCTGTTGCCCTGGCTCGCCGGGTGTCGAGTGTTTGTTCTGTTGATGCTTCTTATATACGGTTCGGCTCGGCTCCGATACATCATTCGCCATCTCGGGGTGATGTAAAACGTTGACCTCCGGGGTGTATGCCGGTGGTATACGCGCGCGAGGCGGTCGTTTCGTTATTGCCGCTCGTAAATCGTGTCCCCGACGCTCGGTCTACGGTCGTCATCAGTCGTTGGTTGTTGTCGTCGTCGTTGTCGCGGTTCGACGACGATGTTATACTCATCGGCAGTTCCCGGGGAACGCACCTAGTGTTTATGTTTGCCGGGAGCGCGTGAATATGCGTGGCACACGGGCGGCTCTGTCCTCGAAACCGGTGGCGCCTTCTTTCAGAATCGTTCCACCATCCCCCTCGATGAAAGGAGAGAGGAGGGAGTCGAACGGGGGGATGGTTAGATGAATGGAAAGGAGGAACAGGGACGGGGTTGTCGGAACGAAAGGGGGAAAATGGGAGAGTCCTAGTGGGAGGGAAAAAGAGAAATAACTTGACAGCTTTGAATTTTGCCGCCAAACGAGTTGGAGCTCACCGATTGGAATTTTAGGAACCTGCATCTTGGGTGATGGATGGCGGTTTGTTAACGGAGCAGCGTCGAAGGATACGACGTAAACGAGTGTTTTGACGGGGAATGATATCGTGAATTGCTTACGGTTGCATCGTGGTGTCAACCACGTGGTTGAGGTAAAAACTAGAGAAACCATGGACGTTTATCGGACGACGACAGTTCCGAACGTCGAGATGTTACGTTATGATAGTAGCCCTCTCGCGTCGCCGAACAATCGCGGGTACATTGGAATCGTTTCACACGGGGTGACAACCGTTTAGCAATTCCATGGAAAGTTTGCGGCGAGTTCTCGTAACGTCGTGTGCTCGGTTGTACTTCCCGGTTCGATCGATCGCGACGACATATACGGTCAATGGTTTTGTCCTATTAATTCTCCTGAACCTATCGACTGGGGGTATAGTGCTCTAGCCTACTCCAGTTCTTCGTATCACGAAGACCTAAAGAGAGGATAGAGAAAGAGGGAGAGAGAGAGAGAGAGGAAACGGGGGATATAGTGGGTGGACAGAGATGGAGGAATGCGTGGGCGAGGGGGGAACCTATATCGTGCCGCGGAAAATCGATGTTCAAATGCGCCACCACGTGATTACGTCCACAACGCGAGAGCGTTATCTTCCCGGATATATACCGTCCAACCTGATAATCTTTGCTCGGCCATAATACCCGTGTTACGTAATCGATTGTGTTTCGGGTTCCCCTGAAAATGTCACAAACCAAAGAAGAAAAATATTGGTCGATCGCGATCGAAAAAGAAAAACGTGTCGCGCACGCATTTCCTCGTATCGAGTCCGATGTATAGGTGAACCGGTAAAGCGGTTAATGATAACCGCGTCGCCGACCGGTCTAGTACCCTACCGGCCGATAGATTACAGGTCACGATACGCGATTACTGTCCTTAACACACACGTCCATTAACGGAGCCGGATGTACTTACTGTAATGATAATATTTAACACGAGTTTTACGAATTTATGATATGTTGTTACAACTTACTCGGACAACAATTAGTTTTCATGAAAGTGAGTCTTTACGATAACGACGATTACCGTAATTATTTTCGTGTAATTATTGCAAATCGGTGAGAATTCGGTACCTACGTGCATTTTAAACGTTTCAGATTATGTTTATATGAATATCGGCCGATAATGTCCTTGTGGAGTTTGTTCTCGCTTGTTACTGGGCTTTGTGTCGTGTTCCGTTGCTCGCTGGTAATAACGACGAAATATTAATCTTGCCGGTGCATCCTTAAAGAGCCTCTCGCTCTAAGTCAAATGCAGAGCAAGGCGAAACGGGGGGGGGGGCTGCTCTGTGTTTCAAAATATATTTACATTAACAGTCGCGAACTGTCTCTCTGTTGTCACGGGTACGCGGTCGAGTCAAGCCGGGACGGCAACATAAAAGCTTTTATGGTACCAATGATGATGGTACTTCTCGTAAACTGCTTAATAAGTACGATCCGGTACAGTAAACCAATGAAGACCGGAGTAACGTAAACCGAGGGGGCTGATTCATGGCCGTGGCTACGACGAAGTGACATTTTATTTCCCTGTGTGTTGGGGGGCTCTTTTATTAAACCCCCCCTTGATGGAATCTCGCGAAACCTGGAGTACAGTGCGGTGTAAGCCGATGAAAACAACGTGTACCTGTTTCATTTGAACATTATTTACCACACGTATCCTTCGACGTTGCAATATCACTGTAACTTTGTCTTTATTTTTTTTTTTAAAGAAAGAAGGCGCTGCTCAGGTGACGGGGATTGTGGGAAACGTGTTTATTGTGTTGCGCGCGTGAATGGTTTCCGTTTTGTTCGCGACGATCGGGAGAATCGTTATCGGGCGTGTTTACAAGAGGTTTTTGTTAAATGGAAAAAGAGAAATAAGAAATGGAAAAATGGAAAAGGAAAAAGCATAATACGAGACGGGAGTTGTTCAGTTGTTGGTTGATGTGTGGTGACACCTGCCGTCAACAAACGGAGACTGCGCAGGGGGTCACAATACCGGAAGTTACCTTCTGCCGGCAGTCTCCCCCGCCTTCCTTCATCATCTTCTGCCGCCGACGCGACCTGACGCCGATGCTGATGGATTCATCTTTCTTTTTCCAGAAAAATGTTCATCGGTGGTCTCTCTTGGCAGACCAGTCCAGGTATGTGATAAAGTTTCTACCAATACAATAATCGCCAGTTCAATCGCGACTTCTATTCTTTCGCGTTCGATCGACGAACGTATGCTGGGTTTTGGGAGGTTAAGTTTAACTTTACGACAGTTGTCTACCTATACTATTCAAATGTCTGCACGTCACACATCGTGTTATATGATGCTTTGAACTTATTCGAAGTTAAAGCAAACTGTTGTTTGCATTCAGTTGTCTTTCTTCGCATTCTGTGTCGAAGAGAAAAGAAACTTTTAATCGTTTATTGTTTATTCAGCTCTGTATCAGAGTGTACGTCTTCATTGTACGCTAAACGGTTGAATATATAGGTTAAATGTGAAACTTCCGTGAAAGAACAGAGTAGCATGTAAACTTTCGTGTTAGCACTTAAATCTATACCCTCGTTTATAATCTATGTCCGTAGTGGAGTGATTTCATATTAAATGGATACTCCGCGGTGTATAGTGTACTGATTTTTTTGCATTGATCTTTTTCAACCGGGAACGAGTTTCTTTCGAATAAGAACAAAACAACGTGACTAAGTGATTTTAGCTGTTGAATTAATTACTTGCAATGTAATAATTGAACTGCGGATGTTTATGTATTTCTAGCAAATTATAACCTGCAAAAAAGCCACAAAATAGATTTTCATCAAATTAAACGATATTTATGTATTATTATTAAAATTAAACTGTTAACTACCAACTAGAATGAACAGCTGCTCTCATTGAAAGTTAATTATCTATACTGTATCAAAGCTTTTACACAAAAATCCGTTATTTAATAATTACGTATCGTTTACGGTTTCGGAGCAAACGTGTTCGTGCGGTCATATTTCTCGTGAAATTACCCATCTGGTTACCGGGCAAAAATATGTAAAAGAGGCAGGCGATCCCAGCGAGAATTATAAGAATGTATTCGCGATGAGTAATTTCGTGTTTCGTTCGTTTCACGTGAGAAAAGAGCGTGCGTGGCCCCGGACGGGGCAACGATGAAGAGGTGCAAATTCGAGGCGTTCCTTTCGGCGTGCTCGCGTGTTCGGCCGTTCGAGTTAGCAGTTCTTTTATCTTCGTTAAGAGACTCGTGGCGGGCCGAGAAAGAAAGAGAGAGAGAGAGAGTGAAAAAGAAAAAAAAACTATCGCTCGACGAGAGGCTGGAACGCGGAACGATAATCGGGGCCGCGCGCGGCCGAATGGCTATAAGACGTCACGTGCGTCTTTCAAGCCAGCCGCGAAAGTGGGGAGAGGGAAAAATGGGCCTGCATAAAGCGTGCTTCGTATGGACCGCGATAAGATTAACGGGAATAATTGATAGAGTGGCTTGCAGCTCCTTACGGCCGCGATTTTGAGATCAACGTGACAGGCTCGCGTGCTAACGTTTCGATTATTTCTCATTAGACGGCCAGAAAAAAAAAATGGCACTCGATTGTGTGGGCTACTTTGCGCGATTATCTGGCCACTTTCGCTTCGAAAATACAGTAGAAGTGCCAACGTTCGATCAATATTCATTTTAACGGAGTAATAACAATTTGGAAGCACGCTGCTCCGTTATGTTTCATTGAAAATTGAATAACTTCTGTTGCAAGATCTTGAGAGAAGCTTACGTTCTTGGAATTTACAAGTTTGGACCGTACCATTACTATGGTACTCTGAATAGATGCTGGACGATCGAAGGTTTAATTCTACAACAGATCGAAACTAGATATCAAATGATCCAACGATCGTATACAAATGATTTACACCCACGGTCGAGCAAGCTCGCGACGCAATTAACGGATGGAACGTTTCACCTATCTACGTGTTGTTTCCCAGTCGATTCCGATTATAGGATCTCTTTCTGTCTGTCTCTCTCTTTCTCGGTTAAATCATTCAATTCCACGAAAGAAACGTACACACGTCACGCGAATTGCGCTAGAAAAATCCATGTTGAACTACGTGACGTTTAAATTAACTTTTCAAACACAGTCGAAAGGAATACCCTTCGTGTTTTTGTTTCCCTTCATTCTGTTACCTTTTTATTTCACTGTTTCTCTTCTTTTTCAATGGCTCTCTACACCCGCGTCTGACTCGACGTTACGCGCGTGAACTTTTCCGATTTACCGTGGAATTGTCGTTAATTCTCCGGGTTCACCCCTGCGATGAGGTGGAACAGACGTGGTTGTGTCGGTTAAGGAAAAACGGAACATTTAAAACGGAGCCCAATCACGAACAAAGACCATTTTTGCGTGAGCCGCATTAAAATACAATCGCCCGCCGGACGGCCGGCCAGAGGTGTAACGACACGCCGAGAAATTATCACGGTTACTCGGAAACGTGTAATTACTTCCGCGGAATTTTCACAGTGAGGACACGAGTGCTGTGTTACGTTAGTGTACGGTGACGGGCGAGAGCTTTTTGCCAGCGATATCTAATCGGGACTGGTGCGTGACAGGTTCTCGCCCGTTGATAGTTCTGTGACCAGGACCCCCGGGTCCGAATTCGTTCCGTTGTGGCGCGTGATTCGGCGTAGGGGGTATCGCGTATGAAATCATTTACGTGGTTAATATGCATTATCGCACGAGAGTTCCGCATAGGACGTTGACTTCTGCGGTGATGCGATAAGAAGAATTTAAGCGTTTAACTCCCATGCACCGGTTCAACACTCGTTTTAAAAGCGGGTCAAATTCTGTCGCCGGTTAATATTTAATTTTTGTCAACAAGGATTCGTAGTTCCACTGATGTGGAACTCAACGTTTTTGGTTGAGAAATTCAAGTGTTTGCTACAAAAATAAATAAAAAAATATAGGTTGGTTTAATAGCGATATTTTCGACTTTAAAATAACGAGATACAACATAGGTATATATCTATCAGTCTCATAATTTTGAAATAACGATTAAGGGTAACCGATCCAAATTTGTTCATAGAAGCAGTCCCATTTATTTTATCAAACTGTGAATTTTAATTCAAAATTAAGAAAAATTTACCACGAATCAATGATAAAAACTCAAGTTATTGAGAAGAAATAAGTAGAAACTGTATACAAATTTTTTCACTTAATTGTTATTTCAAAAGTATGCGAACGAATGTATGAGTCACTGTATACATGGTACGAATTGGGAGGGATCGGAGAGCTTCCCAGGACTTTAAATATTTTATCTGGAATCACTTTTCGGTATTATTATTTCAGTCGAATTTATGAAGTAATATTATTGTTCTTCATAATTATTATTTTTATTTTGAATTGGGACAGATGTATGTACACTTGATACGGGAGAAAACATGAATATAAACGTGTAAAGACCGGACTACAATTGTAGGCCGCTAGAAAACCTAGCCCCAAGGTATTAACTATCCGAAGAGAAATTGAAAAGAAAAAGGAATGTGATTTGTAGAAAGTATATCGGTCTTTCTTTTATAATAGATAGAAATATAGAAAGTGAAAATTGGACTGACGGTAATGAGTCATTTCTACTGTCTGCTGTTATCCAAAGAACAGAGAAAGTTTTTATCAAATCTGACCCACATTTCTCAGTTTCTTAATTTTTACCACTAGAACTCGCGACTATAAATGTATAATCTACTTCGATCGGACCCATAAGCATGAGAATTCTAATGACTGAATACGTACGCAGAAGTTCTTTTGCTGTAAAAGGAACTGAAAGGAGCGACGGAAGAAAGAATCTATTTCAGACATTTTTACGTATTCCATAATGTTCGATACAATGCTAGTTTCCGGACTAGCAGGGCCAGGAGTTAATATTATACAGGGTGGCCCATTAATTCTGTCGACCTGGAATATCTTTGTTATTTTTAAACATATGGACAAATGTTATTTACAAAAGTTGTGTGAAATAAAGGCGGCCATGTATTGTAGGTCGTTGAAATCATTTAAACATCCGCTTTTCTATCGGGAATAAAAAAAGTATAACGTACCGCTTAAAAAAAATAGAGGCTTCCACGAAATCTCCGATAACCCTCCCATCTACAAAAAAGTGATCACTGGTACGTTATGCCCCCCCACCCTTGTGCCATACACGTTGTATAAATAAAATTTTTCAATAGCTCCAATAATAACGGAGATCTTCCAGGTAAACTGTTGTATTGAGCCACCCTGTAGTTTGGGAACGAGTGGAGCTACCAGCCCTTTCTTCTCAATTACTCCTCGTGCGATGAGTTTTCGTAACCTGGGATCGGTGGGTAGAGGGAGGTCGAGAGGAGGGAGGGGGGGTAGGGGACGCGTCTCTCAGAAAAAGAATAAAGAGGAACGGAGGCGGAGTAGGCTCATTAACGTTATTTGCTGTCGTTACGTAACTCCGTAACTCCATCTCGTTCTCCGTTCGTCCCGTGTATACCTACACGTCGTTCGTTCTCCTTTTTATTTTCTCGCTCTGTCGGTCGTCCACGGCGAGTCGATTCCACGCGACCATGGAGAAAACTGGGCAAGAAGAGACCCCGGGTACTGTGTTTCCGTCTCATTAAGGTCACCGACCACGGTCGCCCGTTCGCTCCGCGTGGATCGCGTCGACGCGAGTCCGCGACGCGGAAAACCGTCGCTGTTAGAATTCGTAACACCTGGTTCCTGACTGGCGGTCCACGGTAGTTTTAGCAGATCATGGATTTTATACGAAGTACAGCTCAGGTGGGACGGAAATTTGAGCAATTACTAGGCGACACCGTAAAAAAATGCACGTACAAGGTTCGATCAAAAAGTTCCCGACATTTTTATTTATTTGAAAGAAATATTTGTTATTTGTCGATATTGATATGGTGCCTTTTAAAGTAGTCTCCATTGGATATAACTCACTTACGCCAGCAGTTTTTTCCAATCCTCCAAACACTTCTGAATAACACTTTTCGGTATAGCCTTTTCCTCCTCTGTGGTCTCTTTAACGCACTTCACTCCTTGTTCGTGAATTTTGGTCAAAAAACGACACTGTATTGATGCTTCAACCACCGTGTTTGGTGGACATGGTCCCCTGTGAATTTTTCCTGATCCCGAAGATGGAGAGAACCAT